CTGAATATAATAATGATGCAATTTATTTATCAATTTATTGAAGTTTTATTTATCAAAATTATATATCATCTGTCTCAAAAACCAAGATAAAATTATGGAACAAATAAAATTGAACATTATATTTCTTCATATAACTGGCATAAATTAGAAAATTAACACATAAAATACACGAATTTTAAGGAGCTAACATTAAATGATAATAATTATATTATAATTAATAACAACTATATAATATCTTCTTGAATTATTATATGATATCAATAATAATGAATAATAATGAAATAACTAAATAATAAATGTATTACTAATAAATTTTATCAACATGATTAAAAAATAATACCACATGATCAATTATAGTCTGGCTTATTATACTACTATTATCTTGAACGGCAAATATATTAATTGGATTATTGAGATCCATTGTTAAGGATATGAATTGTTAGTAGAAAATAATTAAAGATCTTTTTAGTGTCAAACTAAAAAAAAAAGTAAAAAAATTAAATATAGAATCAGTATAAATTATTAAAACAATTTTAAAAATCATTTTTTAAAAACTAAATACATTATATTAGTTGATATTATTAAAATATCAAAAATTACAATTATAATTTCATAGGTATTATGAGAACTTGAGTTAATTTTGTGATATAATGTTAGGAAAACTTATAAAAATTGTTTATCTATGTAATTATGCCTGATTTTAACTATCCTAACAATATCAACTATTATCAATATATTTAAATATTTAAATATTTGTATATTTAAACTATTATCAATATATTTAAATATTTATAATAGCAATAAAGTTTATTGTAATAATGAACATACAAGTATTTAAATATATTAAAAATAGTTGACATTGTTAGGATACCAAAAATATACTTAAACTTTATAGGTTTACAATATTATACATTACACCTGCACAACAACCAGTACGCCTTGCATGCAAGAGCCTCTACTTACTTTTCTTTATTTTTTAAAACCAACCAGTACCTCTTCAAGAGGCACAGAGTAGTTTGGAAAAGTAATGCGGAAAGTACGATATCATTAACTTTTGAATATCAAATGTCTAAAAAAACAAACAATACTTTACTTGTAATGCTGATCAAAAGTATATCTTCTATACAATAGGCTATATACAATAGGTTTTACCAGAATTAGATAAATAAATATTAGGTAAATTACATTACATTTAAGAATCTTTGTCGACAACTCGCATGATATCTCGCAAAACGAATTTCTTACGTAACTTCATTACCTTAAATGGATGATCTCATCTCGGAACATGAACACTCTCCGAAGTAGGGTTTGTCACGATAATTTTGGTCCGCCGATAAAAATGACCCCGGACTAAATTTCTCAGAAAATATATATCCGGCCGGATAATTTTTTTCTGAAAAAATTGGTCTGAGCTAGAAAAAATTGGTCCGTCTTATGCATGTGCTATGCGCAACATGCATATCTTTTAAATTAATATGGAAGACGACCTTGTTCAAAAAGTTTTTACTTATATAAGTAAAAAGCAATACCCTGATGGAAGTCTAGAAGGCGAAAAAAGAGTCATTAGAAAAAAAGCCTTTAAGTTTATGATTTCGGAAGGTGGGGAATTACTATATAAGTATAAAAAGAAAGACAAGGTAACTCGTTTATATATAAATATTGGTAACAATATTTATATAAATACACACTCACTAATATTATTATTGTTATTATTATTATTATTTTGTTATTATTATGTTTTTAGGTGATAGTAATATTATGTAAATACATGTTTAACTAGTTTACTATCATTATTACTTATTATTGATTATTGATATATTTTAGCTTTAATTTTGATTAGATGTTTATTTTTATTTTGATAATGAGTATTAATATCATATTATTGTTACTGTTATTATTTTCATTGTTGCTTATATTGATGTGTTGGATTTTCAAACTATTTTTTACTTTATTTGTATAACTGTTTGATAGCTTAACTATGTTTATGTCTTTAACTTTGTTTATTGTATTTGTTAGGAATTTATTTTATACTAGTATATATATTATTGTAAATATCCTTTAAATGTTAACAACTGATTTCAGAGTATATTTAATTTGATTTGAACAAGGTAATAAACAAATACTGACAATTCAATGCTTGATTTATCAATATTTATTCATAAAAATTTTTTATTCTAAAATAAACAGCAGTTAATATTATTCATTATTTAGCCTAATTCATCAAATTTAACCTAAATTTGAAATTTCTGCAAGCTAAATTTTGAATTAAGAAATGATATTCAAATTAATATACATGTAACATATAACATAGCTATATAGCTCAAAAAAATAAAATTGTAAATTGTTTTTATTTCTGCTTTGCAATTTTAATTGATTTTTATATTTGTCTGTATTTTTTGCCATAGCTTATTGATGGCATAGTTTTAATAACTGAATATAACAAAATAAGTTATAGAAAAATATTATTATCATTTTAGTGTCCTTGTTTCTCTCCTTGTATGGGTTGGATGTTTCTTATAATGCTGTGTCTCTAACATACACTTGAACATTTTTTTTCCTGAAATGTAGCTTTTTCAAATCATCTGAAACTCACTCTTTCCAAGTTTTTATGTTTCTACCTCTACCTTTTTCTCCTGAAACTTTAAACTTTTTACATGTTGATAACCAGTCATCTGCATCCTTACGCCCCACATGCTCAAACCACCTCAACCTTCCCTGATGCACCCTATCAGATACACTCACTATGCCTAATCTTATTCTTAATCTTTTCTTGTCTTTTAGAGTCACACTGCACATCCTTCTAATCATCATCCTTTTTATCCTTTCCAAACGCTGAACATCATCGACCTTGATTGCTTTTAGTTTCTTTTTCATTCAATTACTTCTTAGTAGCCCCTCCCCCTCCCCTCTCCCCTCTTTAATGATAGAGACCTTACTCTGACTTACTCTGAAGCAAACCTTACTCTTGCCCTAGGTGCTTCTTCTGCTCTTCCAGCTGATCCAATTGTATCTCCAAGATAAAAAAAATGTAATAACACACTCTATCTTTCCTCTACTTTTTATTTGAAGTAATAGCCACTAAAGACAAAATGGCAGTTACAGTGGCAGGATGTCTGCTCAAGGTTTTACATTTTTATTTCTGTCATTGTTTTAGCATCCTTGCTAAATGCTACCTTTCTGGGTATCAAGTTTTTGGGTCCAAATAGTTTGCATCTTTACATTCTATATTTCCAAACAACCTTAAAATTTGCTGATAATCTCAACTTAATACACTGATTTTCTCTCCAATTTCTTTATACATAAATCTATTTATATATGAAAATTTATTACAAAAATATATCCTTAAACTTATATGTAATGAAACTATTTTGGATATCCAAAAAAACAAAAAATAGAGAAAATATCAGGAGTTCCAGAAATATCCAGAAAAAGATAATCCTTGAACATTAATATTTTTAACTTCTATTTTTATTTTTGGATTTTGTCTAAAAGAGAAAAGGCATCAATGGGAGAGTCAGCCCAAATGTGATAAGTACACTTATGATAATTGTTGCTGAAGTTGCTCTTTTTAATTTCTAACCTGAATTATTCTCTTAATTAACATACCACTTTCTTTTTGATAAACAAATTTCTTAAACTTTAATAAATTAATTCAATTTATTAAAGTTACACTTAAATGAAGATAAAATAATAATATAATGTTATATCTTTCTAAAGAGTTCAAATGTGATGATCTTAGAGATCAAAAGTAATGATCTTGAAAAGGAATCTGATGGTGTATTTGTTAGGATGCACTAGGGAAAATTAAGTTGGTTTGGGTATGTAGATCATAAAGGTGCTACTAATTGAGTATCAGCATTTAGAGAGAAGTTTTATAAGAAAAAGAGAGGTAGGTATAGAAAATTTTTGAAAAAGTTAAAGAAAGACAATGCACAAGATTAATGAAACATGCAGCAGCGGATTTAGTATAAGGCATGGGGGAGAGCTGCACACACTCCCTAGAACAGTCAAACGACGCCCCTTAAAGCATTCAAAAATATGTATATGCATGTAATATGTATGATAAAAGTCATGTAAAACCAAAAGTGGTTACCAACAACAACAAGCTATTTATTTTTCGTTTATCATTTTACAATAGTTTTGATAATAATAGTAATAATAGCAAAAATATATAATAATAAGATAAGATAAAAATACCACCAGAGTTGTTAGTCCTTGGGCTTGAACTTAACCTTGGCTTTTCCTTAAGGCCAAAAATTGAAGTCTTAGCCTTGAAACTGTTGTTTTTGGCCTAAATTGTTTTGGCCTTGGCCTTAAAAAAAATACATATTTTCTAATTGATTTCATTAAATTCTTCCCATAACCTTAGTCTATTTTTACAAAATGTGGTTTTCTTGTCACTGTACTTGCTGCTTACATAAATACCTTCTTAATCAATCGTTTAAAATGTTAATCAGGGCAAGAAGCACCAAAAAAAAGTTTCTACAATTATTATTATTATTTTTCTAATTATATATTATTAAAAAAAAAAGTTTAATATTAGTTTAAATTATTGATTCGAAATGTGATTCGAAATGCAAATCAAGACCTGCTTTGATTAAAGATTTGGTTAAAAACAAAAAATGCTGATTTGCAGGGCTCTAATGTATATGGTACTATTATCATAAGTCTATCATTCAGGTTTTCATGAGGTTGGGAGTGCCAAGAGTTTTGCTGTCAGATAATGGGACTGAATTTTGCAATGAACTTAATAATACCCTTAATGTATTGCTTGGTATAAAGAAAAGGCTCACAACTCCATATCACCCACAAGTAAGTTAAATGTTAATTTATTGATAGTGAATAGGTTAGTAAGGAAATAAGATAATAATATCTCAAGTTACTTGTTTAATTAAGTTAATTAGTTTAAATTATAAAACAATTTGTTTTCCATTTAAGGCTAATGGGCTTGATGAACGATTTAATCAAATTTGCAGAATATGCTAGTAAAATATGTATCC